AATGAATAATTGAATGAAAGAGATAGAAAAAAGGCCATTTCCTGACACAATTTATTTCAAATAGTTGGTAAATGCTAATTTTGATCCAAATTTTAGGTGAGTAAGTATTTTTTTAGTGTTTTTCTACATGACAGAATTCACATGGTTCCGGCTAATTACTGAAAACTGTCAGACTGATGTATTTTGAACTGAAATGCTGTGGAAAAATGATGCATGACCCCTAGTTTGCTATAGCTGGAATTATTTATTTTGGATGGTACTGTAAGCAAAAGTGACTTTGATTTGATTGGAGAGCTAGTAAAATTGCCACAGGGTTTAATGTTTATATAGAACATATAGTGAAATTAATTGTCTGAGGCCATAAGATACAAAAGAAACGCAAATTTAAATGTCTGACCAAGCCGTCGCGAATTTCATGAATCCGCGAAAGAATTTGGTAACGGGGTTTTGTCGTGAATATAAAATAATTTTCAGTATTTAACTAAAGTGCATTGATCACTTTGTTTTGTGAAAAATATATAAATAACTTACGTTGGTATTCACTGTAGGAGGTAACAGTATGTGGTATTTTACAGTATTTAATTTCGAGTATTTTTTTACTTCTGTAAATGCTTTAATGTAAAGATTTATTGCCTTTGTTATAAATTCTAATGTATAGCCTTAAGATCTCACAGTGCTAAATTGTACGCAACGAACTGGAGAATGGTTCACAATAAGTATTACGTTAACACATGAAATCTATGCGGCTTATATGTTTCATATTACTCATAAGGACACATGTAGAAAGAATGTTATAGGCAAATACATATTATTATAATTTATAAATGTTCTTTATATTTTGAAATGGTCGTCCGTACTGTGGTCCAATCTCCTCTTTCAATATTTTAGGGACACAAATTTTATTGACTAGAGCCAATCTTTTGTTAAAATTACTTTGTACTGCAGACCAATCTTGGATTTAAAAAAGATTCAGGGACATTATTCAAATGAACATCATGTTTGCTAAAACTGTTGAACGGACATAACTTTATTTACTATGGATGACTATACATTTATATTTCGAGGAAAACAATTTATATAATTATGCTTTTATTAGATAGTAAACTTTAAGTAAGTTAAACTTCAACTCGGACGACTTGACTTATTGAAAGGTATTTATTTAATTGGGTGATTTTTTATATGTGAATATTTATTAACTTAAATGCCAATTTGGTAAGTTTTTAAATTTATCTTAATAAGAAAAGAAAACACGCTAATTTTTATAGATTTGTGTTTTTACATTTTCTTAAATTGAGTAGTTCTTGAATATTTATTTTCTTCTTTAAATTTTTTTATGGAACAGAATTAGTGCATTTATTCCATCCTGCTTGCTTTTATTTGGACTTACATTATGCTTGCTTCCATACTTTTTTATGACAACTGAAACCTACGTTTTGCTGAATACAATCATGCATTATGATTACTGAATGCACTATCATGTAATTGCAACTTCATGTGTTTCTTTCTGAACCATCAAACTCACACATTAAAATATGCTATATGTTTAATTGCCTCTTTTTTAAGGACAGCGTATTATGTTCGGTGTTTAAGGTAACATTCTTTGCTTGTTCTTGATATAACTAGATGTAAAATGGTAAGTTCTTGTAAGTACCTTTGATTTGCTTTAAATCTGCCGCTTTCATTGTCGACACTATTTCACAATTAATAATTGATTTTGATCAATACTTGGCGAATTTGATGTGTCTTAGCATTCATACTGATTACAAAACATAATGCAATACATGATCAGTTCGCATCAAAAACGAAGATCACAACAATAGCAATATTATAGTCGCATGTTACAGTACGCACTAAGCAGTTGGCGGTAAGCATAATGCGAGTTGCAATATTTTGTTGTCATATTATGACAACAGGTGTCGCTTTGTCGGTACATCCCGTTATTTTCCGGATGGTCCCGCTATTTTGGCACGTGGAGTAAACAAAGTTACGTTCCCTTTATAAACGGACGTATACCCAACAGTGTTAGTTGGGGGCTGACATGTAGCTGGAAGATTTTGAGAAAATTAATAGAAAACGATGCGACAGGCGAAAAATGCGTGTTTTTGAAGATTCGGCCAGCATGTGACCAAAATTTAATACAGTCTCTTATAACATCCTACAAGTGGTATAACACATCTTTTACATTGTTCATACAACTTTTTGAGCGTGTGCCGTAGTCGTATGTGCATTTTGAAATTAAATTTAATACATGTATATTATGCGCAAACTTGATATTTCAAAATATTGATTATTGCTTCACAGTCTTTTTGTAATATAGAATAAATATCATTTGGCTTCACTTCACACAAATATTTTGCTTTAAATCCTATACACTATAAGTGGCCACTAAGAATATATAATATACGTTATTAAGAGAATATGGCAGATTTTTGAAGAAAATAACAACTTTACTTGACCCGTAATAAGGGAGTACACTATGACCACTATTGCATGAAACTGACACGTAGATATTCCATCCAAGCTCATAAACGTATCTCTTTGGGCTGAGCTGGGGTGGGTGGGTGCTGTCCTTAGGCCAGGGCCTAAACCCGCCACTGTATAACTCCCCATTAAATAACTGTTCACAAATATATTTTTTCTGTTAGACTGTATACAGATATAAAATTATATTGCGTAACCTTTTTCTACTTATATCTATATTCTTTGGGCAATTTATATATTTAGTGCTTGGAACGCAAATTGTCACCTCAGTTTATGTACGGAAAATTCCGATGATTGGCGAAATGTGGAAAAATTCCGTTGATCTCGATAACAGGGTTCTCGCCCTTTAACAGTTCACAATCGCTATACATTGTTTAAATTGTTGATATATATTGTAAGATGATCAAACATAATCCACAACGAATCAGACACCGAGCTTTATTTAAACATAAACGCTGCATAATGGAAATAATCGAAAGCTTATTACTAATCACGCCACGCGAGCTATAAATCATATAAGTCACACTTAGTGTACAAAAGAAAGTAGGGAATAAAAATGACGATTTTAAATGACTTCTATTTAAAAGTAATACAAAAAAGAACTAAACCGTAAATAGTTTGTATAGTGCACGAAGAAAGGTAGCTTATACATAAAGGTATTATGACGTTAACATTTTAACTAATCCAAAACAGTACGTGCAAGTTTAATTTAGTTAAGTGAAAATATTAATCATTACGAAAGTTTGAATAAAATAATGAAAAGTGGAATGCAGCTAAATGCAAAGTTTATATATCATTGGCAATATGGATCAAGCATAATGCAAGTTCCAATGTCATCAAGCAAGATGGAATCAAGCATAATGCAAGTTCAAATGTCATAAAGCAAGATGAAATCAAGCATTATGCAAGTTCCAATGTCCTCAAGCAAGATAGAATAAGTGCATTAATTATGTTCCATATTTTTTCTCCACACTTAGACTTTTATTATAAATTGTTAAATTCTAAAGGCTTACATCTAAATGTAAGAACTGTTTATTTTCTTAGACACGCAAAACATGTCAACAGACCCATCAGAGACGAGGAATTTCTGTCGGTTCATTGTTGCCTTCATTAAGATTGGAAGGAAAACATTGCTTAAATTGTTATACTCCAAGAAACCGAAAAATGAGCTAAAGCAATTTATAGAGTCAAAGGATACTGACCTGAAGAAATACCTTTCCAATCGGAAGCGCAAAAAACTTAAGGATCTATTAGCGAATAATCCAGACGACCTCGATATTTCATTTATATTGGCACTCATAACTTCACTGTTTGAATTTAAAGGTATTATGAAAAATGACCTTAATAGATTAAGGCGCATAAGAAACGCTATCGCACATTCACCAAATGCAACATTGAATGACGAGAAATACAACGAAATGTTCGAGACACTACACATAATAATTTGCAGAATCACTGAAGAAGTTGACAAAGATAATGTAGATTCAGTAGCTAGAGAGATTGAGCAGTGCAAGCAGGGGGAACCAGACTTTTCCCTGGCTAATAAATATAAGGCAATGCTACAGGGATGGCGCGATGGCGGGGTATGACTAGCACTTATAAATTTTATAAAATCAGTGACAAAAACTGAAAAAAATGGATTTAAAAGTTTTTCATATCATAATTTAGGTTATACAATCATAACGATTTTTTATCCGATGTCAACTATTTGAATTTTATACAGATAATCATAAATTATTTCTTTTCTTTATTACATATAGTAATAGGAATTATTTTTCATAAGGTATTTGCTTAAGCTGCCTTTTGTTGCCTTTGCACTGACAGACAAAAATAATGAAATCATTAATTCTTATTAAACACTTCCTAATCTTGGCAAAATAAAAACCAAATATATGTACTATATTATCTTTTTGCCGACGAAACCAGCCTGTATTTGATGGATGATCATCCAGTTTCTGTGGCTGAAATTCTCCAGTCTGGCATAAACAAGATTTCATTATGGGCTGAAAAATGGCTAGTAAAGTTAAATCCTTCCGGATTTGAAACAATGTTACATGTAAATCAATTAAACAATTCCAACCACTTTTGTACATGCAAAACAAGACAATATCTTGGGTGACATCTCACAAACACCAAGGCTTACACTTTTAAGATGTTGGTTCCTTGCATATTTGATATAATTATAATGTCAATGGGGAGGGCTTAAAAACATAAAAACATCAAGCTTAAATTTATATTGCACCTTGCTCGTAATCATTCAGAAATAATCAACCTGGGGGTGGTTGTCTTGAATAAGTTTCGTATCTTAAATTTGTGACCAATCTTACGAGATTGCTACGATATAACTTAAATGTCCTTACTTCATTGTCTGGTAGGACACCTTAACGATCTCATTTCTCAAGGGTAATTTACGACATCGTATTAGCATAGCAAAAGTGACTCTGTGTAGTTCAAACAAAGTCCGCTTTTCATAATAATATATATATTTTTTGCATCATAGTTGAAATTGGTTTAGAAAAATGGTCAAGAAAAAGGAAGAAAAGTTCAACACAATTAAACTTGAGGTACTTGCAAGAGAGGAGAGTGAGAGCCAATCACTTCTTGTCATCAATTTTTTTTTCTGGCATGATCACAAATTGAAAGAAAACAAGAAAAACGGGTGCAGATAACAGCAAAAGTGAATTCTGTTTCGTACTGATCCACAGAAGTAAGAAAGAAGTAGAGTGACTGGTCTACCGCTATTTGTGCCAAGGGAGCTAATATAAAACAAAGGCAACAAAGGACTGGTGGCGGGAGCAGAGACATTTCCTCGTTAAGTTCTTTATATGAAATTTTTCTACATATAATTGGTGTTACAGCTTTAGAGGCTATCGTTGGTAGACGAGACTCGGCCGTTAATTCAGAAAGGAGCGGAATGTAAATTTCAAACAACACTTCGCCATTTACCAACTTCCTAGCTGAATTGGACGATGATAGTGACAGTTCCGTTCATATTGTAGATGTTGGGGATCCTGTAAAATGTTCAACCCCAAAACCATTCAATCTAACAGAACATACTCATACGCCTTCGATGAACACCAACCGTGGTAAAAAAAATCTGCACGTAGGACATTGACAGAGGGTGCACATAACGACGGCATATATTTGGAGGGAGAGAAATTGGTAATAAAGAGGCAACGTCTTACGTTTGAGCAGAGTAGACTCGTCATTGAACGGGGGCGTTAAGGTGTTGAAACAGATATTTTAGCATCGTTATCTGACCTTCTTTTACGCCTACGGGGCACACTCAAAAGCTGACCGAAGAAGAGGAATCAACATTTTAGATAAACCTGTAATGTTAGTACCTTTATGTTTAAATACTGTCAGTACATGTAGTTATAAAATTTTCTCACTTTCACATGTGATATATGATATTATCATGAAAAAAAACAACCAAGCAATTTGTTAGTAAATGACTAACAAGTGAACAAAATAGCAATGTTTAAATGTTTGCACTGACACTCGGGAAACGGACGCACGTAAAATAGACTCTGGACATTCAACAGCTGCGCAAAACTAACGAAAAACGAACAAATTTCTTTTAATTTAATGCCTAAAAAGTGGGAAAAATGCCAATTGTCAACTTTATTGCAACGTAGCGCGGGAAACAGTTGCACGTAAAGAAGATGACGTCACACGTTCAACGTTCAACACTACACAAAAAAGGAATAAAAGATTACAGCCAAAATTGCGGCGAAATCTGTACCGTTTTAACAAGATAAATAATAACATTTGAATCGAGAAAATATGCCCTGAAAAACAAAACACTCCTATTAGTTAATAGGAAATTTACAAACTTACGTAATCATGAAAATTAAAACGATCACCAAAAATAGTTCGGCATATCTTTACCAGTCCCAGTGTAATATATTGTGGGTGAAATGGATAGCAAACGATTTCCTGCTCCTCAAAGTTTATTAACCATATAGATTTTCCTCTTTTACTATTACCTACTTTAAGATTTAACTATTTACTTTCACAAATCATGAAGATCTTATACTTGATACAGTTATTAACACGACAATTATTTTGACTTAAAATATTGAATATTAATATATTTAGTCCTTGTTCGAACTCCTTTCAGTTATAAACTTCTACTTAATGTCACTTTTCGTTTTGAAGGTCGTTAATTTGACTTAGTTACGGCCCTTTTTGTGTCGCCTTAAAAGGCGACATATAGGGGTTACTTTTGTCGGCGGCGTCGGCGGCGGCGTCCGTGTCGGCGTCGTTGTCGGCGTCGTTGTCGGCGTCGGCGTCCCCTAAAGCTTGTCCGGAGCATAACTCAGTCACTATAAGTCTGATTGACTTCAAACTTGGTATGCATGCTTCTTTCAATAACCCGAAGTGCAGTGCACAAGGACCAGTACTCTGCAGTTCTTAATTTTTGAGTTATTGCCCTTTGTTAATTTTCGTACTTTAATTTTGTCCGGGCCATTTCTCTTCAACTATAAAAGCTATGGACTCGAAACTTCATAGGATGATAGATCTCATTAAGAAGAAGTGCAGTGCACAAGAACCGGTACTCTGCATTTCCTAATTTTTGAGTTATTGCCCTTTGTTAATTTTCATACTTTATTTTTGTCCGGGCCGTTTCTCCCAATGTTTAAAAGCCATGGACTTAAAACTTCATAGGATGATAGATCTCATTAAGAAGAAGTGCAGTGCACAAGAACCAGTACTCTGCATTTCCTAATTTTTGAGTTATTGCCCTTTGTTAATTTTCATACTTTATTTTTGTCCGGGCCATTTCTCCCAATGTATAAAAGTCATGGACATAAAACTTCATAGGATGATAGATCTCGTTAAGAAGAAGTGCAGTGCACAAGAACCGGTACTCTGCATTTCTTAATTTTTGAGTTATTGCCCTTTGTTTATTTTCATACTTTAATTTTGTCCTGGCTATTTCTCCTCAAGTATGAAAGCTATGGACATGAAACTTCATAGGATGATAGATCTCATTAAGAAAAAATGCAGAGTACAAGAACCGTTACTCTGCACTTCTTATTTGTGAGTTATCACCCTTTATTAATTTTCATACTTTATTTTTGTCCAGGCTTTTTCTCATAAGTTATAAAAGATATGGACTTGAAACTTCATAGAATGATAGATCTTATTGATAAGAAAGGCAGTGCACAGAAGCTGCTTCTCTTCACTTATTATATTTTGAGTTATTGCCCTTTGTTAGTTTTCATATTTCATTTTTGTCCTGGCCATTTCTCCTAAACTATATTGTTCAGAAGGCGACACATCCGACTCGCGGAGTTCTAGTTCCATATTCTACATACTTTCTCAACTAGTATTAATGATTATCTTTTCTACTTTGTCAAATTGTCAAAAATTGTCAAAAACCCATCTTAAAATTGTTGGGAAAATGCCTTTATAACCATTTTATGCTTTTAAATCTGAATTTTCATCATTGTTTTGTTCTTTTTATTGTTGAATGTAGATTTGTTTGTGCAACATGTTTGAAAATAAATATGTTTAAACTTATTTAGATAAGCAAAAATATCCATTATATATATATATTACAGGTTGAATTAACCTTGAAGTACAAAAATGGTAAGTTGTGAAAGTATGATACTTATAACGGCACCTTTGAAATCGCAAACATAAATGTATATTCAAAGTATGAATTAATTAGACAAGTGGGTGTGATATTTTGATTAGTTGCATAGTTGCTGTCGAGTAAAGTTGTAATATCAGAGGCTTTCTGGAGAAGGCCATTGTTGCAAATAATTTGTGGGGAAAACAAATTGATGAGTTAATAAACATACTTAATTTCTATTTTTGTGTGTGTCTTTTTTTCTTATATTTATTCATTTTTGTTTTGTTTAGATCTCAAATTGTTCTTCGGTGATGGAAATAAAAAGTACATCCGTTATTGTAAGCTCTTGGTAGATGCTGCACCAATGGTCTTAAAAGAATTTCTGCTTGACCGCTTAAAGAGTCAAAGTCAAAAAGTCCCGGAATTCCTTATGCAATACAAAGTTCTTTTGATGGATAAATTAAATATCCAGGGTGCCTTTTTACAACTGTTTAGAATGCAAGAAGACGGTACAGCTGATGCAAACCCGGACATAGATTCCTGGGACATGTGTGTCGTAGCAGAAATACTTTTGATTGTGTTTGGAAGTAGCTTGAATAGAAAAGTGCGACGATATATTGAGAATTTAAAGAAAGCAAAAGAATCATATGCGGCTGTCGCCATTGAGGCATCGAATAGAGAGAAATTAGATTATTGTTGTGAGGATTTAGTTCATAATTTAAGATCACTAGCGGGAGTTATCAATGAGGATGTTGAAGATGAAGTCGAGCACCTTATTGATATATATCGCAGCGATATATATTCTGATATTGATCTAACAGATTTATTGGAAAAGCTGAAAGGTCTTGAAATTATCAGTATTGCAGAGAAGTATAAAGGTAACAACTTAAATTGAAATATTCATACTTATTTGTTTTTTAATTTAAGTCATCGAGTCAAATATTACCTAGAATCGTAATAACCTGTTGACTCAACAATATCTAACGTGTTAACTGTATTTCTGTTTTTATCAGAAAAATGATTTATGATTCATTATTAAAAAATAATAAGATAAGGACAAGCTTGATGTAATGAAATAAAAAGTCGATTTAGAATCAGTCGTAGTTGCACAATACGTTTGTTTTCACTTCCCTAATGGGTCAGCTGTCAGGGCTTTTACTGCTTACTAACATTCTAGCCGTACATACTTTGCCATATACACTGTAAATGTATAAGCCAGCCGAACAGAAAGTTAACAATTACAAAAAATAAGAGATGTTAAAGTCAAAAATGCATGTATAAATTAAAGTGTTCTTTGTTTTTTTTTTTCAAAAATATTCACAAGCTACTTTACAAAATATGTTTTATTTACGTTCATTTTCAGTCGTTATAGTTATAAAGTTACTCGTATTTAAAAGGTTTAAAAGAAATGGTTGTTAGATTAAAAACCTGATTCGCCAGCAAAGGTCATTTTAAAAATGTTAAAGCTGCCAAATTCTTTGCAAGAAATTATTAACCAAGTAAATTTGTGGTAAAATAAACAATTCGAAATAATTTTGCCAACGCCAGAAAAAAACAAACGTTCAAAATTTTCTGACAAATATAGCGACGATACTATTGTGCATTTTTTGAAACAGATAATGGATTTGTTAAGATAGAAGAATACTTATAGCCTTTTTATAACAACAAATACATTCAAGCTGCCAAATGCATAAACTAAGACGAAATTGCCTTTTTCAATTGATGTTATCATTAACACATTGATAGGTAAAATGATTTTAATCAAAACAGGTTATGAGAACTAACTTGCTTTTCATTGACATTTTACTCTATGCTTACAGCAAGTGTCGATGATCTTATAGAAAAGCTCGAGGAAGATGACTCTCAGGAAAACTTACAATATATTGGTAAGAGTTAATAACGATGAAATTTATATAAGCTGCCTGCTTTTCATTGCTTAAGTTGTAAATTAAGTAAGAACTCTTATTAAAAGCATCATTTCATTTGAATCTCTATCCTGCTAGAGCAGAAAGTTATAAGCCCTGGTCACCAGTGAAGAACAAGGCTATCCTACACGTCCATAGCGCAGGCTTTCTATCGTTACATTCTCATCTTCTTACCGCTTCTCCAACTAGATAATTTCCATTAAAAGAATATAAGATAAACAAGTCGATCTCAGACATGAGTTACTATTAGTAAATGACCATTAAAAATGCTTGATTTTCTTTTAGTTGAATTGAAAGTCCACATTATATGCGACAAATACTATAAGAGTATGGCAGAGCAAACGATAATAGATCACTTCGACTCCTCAAGGTCAGATGAAGAAAACAAAATTCAGGCTCTCAATGAAATAAAGAAGACCATAAATGGATTTCCAGGGACATCTGTTATAGGTGCAAGAAAGGAGAGCGTTGTTTTAACAATTCGATGTCAATCGAATCAAATTCTTCTTCAAATTATTAACTATATTCACGGGAAAGAATTTCAAGAACATTTGAAAAACTTCAAGGCAGAACTTGAAGACATTTTCGACGACTTCTTTTGCGTGATGGGCTACTTAACTCTGGAAACTCTGGAACGTCTGCTAGATCCACTCTCCGGTAATATCATGTACATTTCCATCTATATCGATTATATTATAATGACACTCACAGCCGCAGTCGCCCGGTAATTCATTTCTGTATATCTAGTTTATCTTGTCCCATTGGTTTAACTGTAACTCTTTGGGGTCTAATAACGCTCTAATCAGTAGAAGCGACATAAGAGATCGTGCATTTGCCATCGTTTCTATGAACATGTTCATTAAATCTCGGGGAAATCACCGTTAACAGATCTTTTATGTGTGTATATGAGCCATTCCCTTCATTCATGACTTCCAGTATAATTCAACCAAAGAACATGAATATGTTGTATTGTATACCTTCAGGACAGTTAAAGAAGCCGTCTGAAGATGGAGTCGTTTTGTCATTAGCAAGCACTTCACAGGAAGGTATGACACAAGTATTACAATTCTTAGGGAGTGAACATGCTGCAAATTGTTTCAACAGGGTGTCAGAGGGTCTTACTCGTCAGTATAATGCAAATATAAAATTGAAGATTACTGTCAACTGTAGCGAAATTCATGACGTTTAAATGTGATACGGGTAAGGAGAAGAAATAACCGAAAACCAAATAAAATCAAAGTTTTGAGTACAGTAGAGCAGAGCCATGTGAAGCTTTATTTCCGATAAAAATGTTGAATTACATTTAACAATGACCTTATCTACACTCGTTTGACAATAAGAATTATAATTCACATAAGGGCATTTGTTTTGTACAGTCAAACCAGTAAGTTATAGCTAGACATTATTAATATCATATACATGTCAAGGAAATTGTCAGTGAAATTCCATCAGAAAGTTGTCTCGTCATTCGCTAACAGATAAGAAAAACAACTGTATAACAAAAACCAGAAATATTTTGTTGCTTTCTTGTCTAGGCAGCAATCTAAAACGACATAGAGACGAAGATTTGAATATTGAGTTACAAACAGAGAGAAAACGTGTACAAGAAATCGATAAACACCGAAGAGAGAATCCTGATTTAAGAAGAACTAAAGTAAGACTTTATTTTAATTTCATTACGTCTGCTCATTTTCAATAAATCCTAATAAAAAAATTATAATTAGTATGGGAGAAACGTGGCGATTAACATATTATATATCAGAATGTCATGACTACATTTGCCTAGATTTATATATTTGCGATTTAAAAATATTGCCAGACAGAGATGAAAAATGATTTCGATCTAATGAATTTTGAAAAAATTGTTGGAGGGACATTGTAATGTGGTCACGTTTTAATTAAAAGATTAATAAATTGGACAATGTACAGCTACCTAAGCCTTGCAATCGACTTTACCTTAGTTTTCATCACAAAACTGAAAATTTCATTGCACTGTAAAAGGTTTGAGGAAATTAAATTCGTCGATTTAATCAAATAATTCCTAACTTTTCTTTGTCTTCCTTTGTTCGGTCCACTTTTTTGTCGCCATGATTAACTCCTTGGTAACCACCAGTATTCATCTCTTAATTAGTTTTTTCTCTGTACGCTCAAAAGAAATCGATGTTTATTGTTATGCACCTGGTTGTCTGTTTGTCCGTCGACCGTCCGTTCGTCTGTTAGCAGTTTTTCGTGTCCGGTGGAAGAAAATTGAAACTACTGGGCAGAAGTGTTTACCATAATCAGACAATGTGCAGAGCGAAGATTTTGCTTTTCTCAGGTCATAGTCAAGGTCACACAAGGTCATTGGTATCAATATCAAACTTTTGTGTTCGTTCTATATTTTTTGAACTGGTAGAAAGAAATTCAATCTTTTTGACAGAAATACTTCTTATTTTTAGACGGCTCAATCACATTTGAAAACAATGTAAATATTTTATTTTGAACCAAGCTGTTTGAAATATTTTTTTAGCCAAAAGTGAGTTAAGCACAATGTTACATGTAAGAAAATGTGGGTCAACATTAACTTTATGGTAGAAAAATCACTCAAAATGTGTCTCCTTGTGAAAGAAAACACACGCAAATTTTACAAATAATATGCTCTGCTGAGGCAATATCGTACTCCTCAGTGTATTGTATTGTGGTGTCAAAAGGAACTATTTAGTGAGTAAATGGCCCCGAATCATGTAACTTGCTCACAATAATACGATCTGAATAATATGACCTCAATAGAAGAAATATTTGACAATATTCACATACAGACTGATGACCAAAGACGTAACTTAATGGGGCGTCCGTGGACGAGTGGTTAAGGTCGTTAAATTCAAATTTCTTGCCTCTCACCGCTGTGGATTCGAATCCCAACAGAGACTTCAGAGTGAGGAAGCTATCCAGCTCGCTTACGGAACGTCGTTTGTTCTACTCAGGTGTCCGTTCGTGTCTGAAATAATGCACGGAAGGACACATGAGGTATTCCTCCAACAGTAAAACTGGAACTTCGCTATATGACCTATACTGTGTCGGTGTGACGTGAGACCCAAACAAACAACAAAAATAACCGTATTAAATCAAATGCAAGAACGTTTCATAAAACTAAGAAAGGTTAATAAAATATAAAACTAAGCCAGGTTTATTATCATACTTACACACAATACTTATTCTAATCAGTCTAAAACATTTGTAACGTTTTATACGAGTTCCTTCAATCAATACAGTGTTTAAGGTAATATTCATTTGGCATGTACATGAACTATCTTTTGCAACAATAGCTCTGTTGGCACTCAGTATCTCATAATGAAAACGTATTTTGTATCAAAGTGAAAATAATACTTTGTTTATATTTTGTTACCATGACTGCATGTTCAGCGCTTCTTCCTTCATTTGTTAATGTAAAACATATAACATGTTCTAAAACCTTTTTTCAAATAGTATTTAACACATTTCTAAAGAATTAAAATATATATTTATTGACTTTTGAGGCCTAATATGTGCTTTCGCCTATTGGTCACTTCCACTGTGTGAACGTTTTTAATGAATCATTGTTCATATGACAACCTTTATTCAGTTTTTATCAGAATCATTCAGGAGATACCAGAGCAAGTTAGGTTTATGGTTCTTAAACAATGCACTTCCTCTCTGTCTTACACATTATGTGAAATCATAATATAGTTTTCTTTGATGTTTTTTTCAAGTTATAAAATAATATTATACACGTTGATTTGTTTTCAAAAACGCGTAAGATATACATGTTTTGATAAGTGATGTGTAATAAATTTTGATTATAAAGGGTATAAAATAATATCCTTGAAATATTTATATTTATTAAATATAATTATATTGTTCCAATACTCTAACGGTCGATTCTCGAAAGAGTTGTAACAGAGATTGTCTCTAGTGATATTGAGCGTATTTGAATAATCATATCATTATTTTGCTATTTAAGTACAGTTTATCTGCTCAGCATCGATTTTTTTAATGCGTACCAGATGTGAACCGCATGTTCAATAATTTCCCAAGTGGAATAATCACATGTAAAATACTGTAAGCGAGATCATCTTTTATGTAAAACAGAAGTGTTATTTTCTTATTACGTTTAATAACAAACAATTTTGTTTACGGTTTCTTGCATATGATATAGCAAAGAACTGATACGTTTGGTAAATTGTAATTTTAACACATAACCTGCATTGCTTTTAAAAATAAAAATGCTTAAAGACATATTTCGTAGGAATTTTGTTTATCGTATGAGAAAATCATACATGAAAACTGTATTCAAATAATATATAAAACCATTCAAAAACGTAAGAAAATAACCATTTTGTTTCACAATATACAATATAGGTTGTACTAACAGTATTTCACCTGTAATTAATCCCCTTCGAAATTATTGAACATGTTGTCCATAATTGGTACAAATAATTAGGTTGTTACAAAACTAGAACCACACTATATTTCGAAGGGAACTGTATCTGCTACGTTGTACTTACACTGCCTTTGAAATGACTTTTCCTTTTTTATAAACGATAGCCCTTAATTAAAAAATAGTATTTATTTAAGTGGTTAATTGAGGCAAATGTACTTAATACTTTGTCAATCTTCTTTGCACCACAATAATTTATTCAAATTATGATGATGTACATATTTGACATGCCTAAATGGCATATGACCTTTAAATACATGCTGTGTTTTCAGGAACAGGAACTGAGGCGAAGGTCTGAACAAGATTTTAGAAACACCACTGCCGGTCTTGAGCCTAACGTACAAACGCTTGAAAGAAGAAATATGACTCTTGAAACACAACTACAAGAAGCGGTAAATTATCAGGTACTTGTCTAGCAATAACATGTTTCATTTATTATACATACATGTGTAGTTTGGGTAAACTAAATAAATAAAACAATGTATTATCTAGTGGTTAGTGTATTTGTAATACCGAGTGGTAAAGATATCAGTATTACTAGTGGTAACGGTATATGATTTATCTTGTGGTAATGGTATATGTATTAACCAGTGGGAACGGTATATGTATTATAAAGTGGTAAGAGTAAATAGTGGTAAGGGTAAATTTCAAGTGGAAATAATATGTGTATTATCTAGAGATAGAAATATGTATATTATCTAGTGGTAAGTGTTTATGTTTTACTTATTTAAAAGAATATTTTTATTATGTAATGGTTAGTGTGTGTGTATAATCTAGTGGAAGGAATATGTGTATTATCCAGTGGTAAGGGTTTATGTATTATCTAGTGGCAAGAGTATTTATATTGTATATTGTGGTAAATGTATATGTATTATCAAGTGGTAAGGGTATATGTATTATCTAGTGGTAAGAATATGTGTATTATCAAGTGGTAAGGGTTTATGTATTATCTAGTGGCAAGAGTATTTAAATTGTATATTGTGGTAAATGTATATGAATTATCAAGTGGTAACGGTATATGCATTTCCTAATGTTAAGGGTAAATGTATTATGTAATGGAAATATTATGTATATTATCTACTGGTCAGAGTATATGTATTATCTAGTAGTTAGAATATATGTATTATCCAGTGGTAAGGATAAATGTATCTCAACCAAGCGGTTAAAAACAAACAAACTTAAATTTGGTTTAAATAAAAAATAATAGAATGCTGGATTTTACTTTCTAAATATAGTGCACTGCTTTTAAAAAGATATCAGAAACAAAATATCAGAAATAAATAAATAAATCTCATGTTTACAAGATAATGATATACACGTGGTGCATTTCTTTGCAATTGGTTTGTTGTGGAAAAACCTGTAATGGTTTTATTATGAATGAGTACCATTCATTTAAAACTGCCTTCGTTTTTTATTTAGAGACATAGAGCTGAGTCAGATGCTGAAAGAATTCATACCTTAAGGGAAGAGATAGCAACGTCAAGGCGGGAACTTGAGCAGGAAAAAGTTAATAGAAGAATTGATTGTCAACGGCTTCAAAATGAGTTGACAGTAAGAGAGAAAAGTCTAAGGGAAGTAAGTCAGAAATACAGGTGCAATAATCTTTTCTTGGTTGTTTTTATGGTCTCTCAAGATTTATCTTTAATATTTCTTTAGCAGATTACATGAGATTAACTTTTTATCATAATAAAATACAGAAAAGTCAAATCCCTAAAGAACGCTTGAACGACAAAAAATGAAATTGTGCAAGCCCGATTAGCTTGAGCATGATGTGTTCATACGGCGGATAATAAGGAGCCTTCAATGTGACACTTTCGTGTTTTACTTGAGAAATAAGTTCATGGGCGCCGCCATTTTGGTGTTCTTGTACTCTCGCGAGACAGCCGAAACCGAGATTATGACATATAACCACTAACAGTAGATGTACACGCTGGTACAACAGAACTATATCTTGATGAACAACTTATTATCCCTCGCCGAAGGGCAGCGGGGGATATAAAAATAGTCTCCGTCCGTCCGTCCGTCCGTCCGACATTGTTGTCGGAAGCATATCTCTAAAAGTATTTGACGTATCAACTTGAAACTTCATAGGGGGAAATATCTCATTGAGGAGGAATGCAGTGCACAAGAATGATTACTGTACCCTGCATAATTTTTGAGTTATTGCCCTTTGTTATTTTTCAAACTTATTTTTTGTCCAGAGCATAACTCAAAAAGTTTATAAGATATCAACATGAAACGTCACAGTTAAACAAATTTCACTCAGGAGGTGTGCAGTGCATAAGAATGATAATTCTACCCTTCATAATTTTTGAGTAATTGTCCTTTGTTATTTTTTATACTTAATTTTTCACTTGAGTGGAGCATAACTCAAAAAGTCTTCGAGATGTCAACATGAAACGTCAAAGGTGGATAGATCTTATTGAGGAGGAATGATGTACATAAGAATGATAACTCTTCCCATTTCAATTTTTGAGTTATTGCACTTTGTCAGTTTTCATACTTTTTGTCTGAAGCTTATCTCAAAAGTGTTCGAGGTATCAAGTTGAAACTTCATAGGTGGAAAGATCTCATTTAGGAGGAATGCAGCACACACGAATGATAACTCTACCATGCATAATTTTTCAGTTATTTTCCCTTTGTTATTTTTCATGCTAAAGTTTTGTCCAGAGCATAACTTAAAAGCCTTTTAGATATCAACTTGAAACTTCAAAGGTGGATAGGTCTCATTGAGGAGGAGTGCAGCAAATAAGAATGATAACCTACCCTGCATTATTTTTCAGTTATTGCCCTATGCTTTTTCTCATGCTTAATTTTTGTTTAGAGCATAACTATAAAAGCCTTTGAGATATCAACTTGAAACTTCATAGGTGGATATATCTCATTGAGGAGGAGTGCAGCAAATAAGAATGATAACCTACCCTGCATTATTTTTCAGTTATTGCCCTTTATTATTTTCAGCCATCAGTATTCACAAAGGTTTCAAATCTGTAATCACTTCAGCCATCAGTTTTCATTACCAAAAGATCTCTTAAAATTGAATTATTCTGCTCTACTACATATACATTCTTTCAATGAGCAAACACATTCGGCGAGGGATGGCCATGTTGACATGGCTCTTGTTATTCTTATTACGTACATTATATTCACATACATGCATATATTGAAATGAGTTTACAAAAAGGAATTCCTTACAAAAATGCGTTGCCTCCAAAGTATAAATTAGAAGTATTATATGTAGATACCGACATTAAAATGATCGCATGTTTTGGACATATTATGGATGCTTTGTAAAATTGAATCTTTTCACCTATAATGGATGGTTGTTAACTTGAAAAAAATACCAGTATCTCAAATTCAAGTTTTTCTTTATATATTACAATCAAAAAAGTTTATGAAAACATTGTATTTAACTGAAATGCTTTAATTGATTAATTAAATACGCCTAAACATTTATTAACATTTCCCCGATGGTCAAGCTTGCCAATGATCCCTGACCACTTGATTTAGGCTAAGACTGCTTATTTTTCAAATTTAATTCATTTGGTCAAATTAATTTGATAGTCTTATTAAAATGACTGGGAAACTAATCCAATCGATGTTAAATCCTTTTATTTTGAACTTATTTCGCCAGGCAAGCTGTCCTTTGTATGTCGGGTTCGCAAACTTTTTGATAAACGATAGCCCTTAATTAAAAAATAGTATTTACTGAAGTGGTTAATTGAGGCAAATGTACTTAATACTTTGTCAATCTTCTTTGCACCACAATAATTTATTCAAATTATGATGATGTACATATTTGACATGCCTAAATGGCATATGACCTTTGTAAAATACTGTAAGCGAGATAATCTTTTATGTAAAACAGATTGAAGTGTTATTTATTTATTACGTTTAATAACAAACAATTTTGTTTACGGTTTCTTGCATATAATATAGCAAAGAACTGATACGTTTTGGTAAATTGTAATTTTAACACATAACCTGCATTGCTTTAAAAAAAAAAGCTTAAAGACATATTTCGTAGGAATTTCGTTTATCGTATGAGAAAATCATACATGAAAACTGTATTAAAATAATATACAAAACCATTCAAAAACGTAAGAAAATAACCATTTTGTTTCACAATATACAATATAGGTTGTACTAACAGTATTTCACCTGTAATTAATCCCCTTCGAAATTATTGAACATGTTGTCCATATTTGGTACAAATAATTAGGTTGTTACAAAACTAGAACCACTCTATATTTCGAAGGGAACTTTATCTGCTACGTTGTACTTACACTGCCTTTGAAATGACTTTTCCTTTTTTATAAACGATAGCCCTTAATTAAAAAATAGTATTTATTTAAGTGGTTAATTGAGGCAAATGTACTTAATACTTTGTCAATCTTCTTTGCACCACAATAATTTATTCAAATTATGATGATGTACATATTTGACATGCCTAAATGGCATATGACCTTTAAATACATGCTGTGTTTTCAGGAACAGGAACTGAGGCGAAGGTCTGAACAAGATTTTAGAAACACCACTGCCGGTCTTGAGCCTAACGTACAAACGCTTGAAAGAAGAAATATGACTCTTGAAACACAACTACAAGAAGCGGTAAATTATCAGGTACTTGTCTAGCAATAACATGTTTCATTTATTATACATACATGTGTAGTTTGGGTAAACTAAATAAATAAAACAATGTATTATCTAGTGGTTAGTGTATTTGTAATACCGAGTGGTAAAGATATCAGTATTACTAGTGGTAACGGTATATGATTTATCTTGTGGTAATGGTATATGTATTAACTAGTGGGAACGGTATATGTATTATAAAGTGGTAAGAGTAAATAGTGGTAAGGGTAAATTTCAAGTGGAAATAATATGTGTATTATCTAGAGATAGAAATATGTATATTATCTAGTGGTAAGTGTTATTGTTTTACTTATTGGAAAGAATATTTTTATTATGTAATGGTTAGTGTGTGTGTGTATAATCTAGTGGAAGGACTATGTGTATTATCCAGTGGTAAGGGTTTATGTATTATCTAGTGGCAAGAGTATTTATATTGTATATTGTGGTAAATGTATATGTATTATCAAGTGGTAAGGGTATATGTATTATCTAGTGGTAAGAATATGTGTATTATCAAGTGGTAAGGGTTTATGTATTATCTAGTGGCAAGAGTATTTAAATTGTATATTGTGGTAAATGTATATGAATTATCAAGTGGTAACGGTATATGCATTTCCTAATGTTAAGGGTAAATGTATTATGTAATGGAAATATTATGTATATTATCTACTGGTCAGAGTATATGTATTATCTAGTAGTTAGAATATATGTATTATCCAGTGGTAAGGATAAATGTATCTCAACCAAGCGGTTAAAAACAAACAAACTTAAATTTGGTTTAAATAAAAAATAATAGAATGCTGGATTTTACTTTCTAAATATAGTGCACTGCTTTTAAAAAGATATCAGAAACAAAATATCAGAAATAAATAAATAAATCTCATGTTTACAAGATAATGATATACACGTGGTGCATTTCTTTGCAATTGGTTTGTTGTGGAAAAACCTGAAACGGTTTAATTATGAATGAGTACCATTCATTTAAAACTGCCTTCGTTTTTTATTTAGAGACATAGGGCTGAGTCAGATGCTGAAAGAATTCATACTTTAAGGGAAGAGATAGCAACGTCAAGGCGGGAACTTGAGCAGGAAAAAGTTAATAGAAGAATTGATTGTCAACGGCTTCAAAATGAGTTGACAGTAAGAGAGAAAAGTCTAAGGGAAGTAAGTCAGAAATACAGGTGCAATAATCTTTTCTTGGTTGTTTTTATGGTCTCTCAAGATTTATCTTTAATATTTCTTTAGCAGATTACATGAGATTAACTTTTTATCATAATAAAATACAGAAAAGTCAAATCCCTAAAGAACGCTTGAACGACAAAAAATGCAATAGTGCAAGCCCAATTAGCTTGAGCATGATGTGTTCATACGGCGGATAATAAGGAGCCTTCAATGTGACACTTTCGTGTTTTACTTGAGAAATAAGTTCATGGGCGCCGCCATTTTGGTGTTCTTTTACTCTCGGGAGACAGACGAGACCGAGATTATGACATATAACTCCCACTAACAGTAGATGTACACGCTGGTACAACTGAACTATATCTTGATGAACAACTAATTATCCCTCGCCGAAGGGCAGCGGGGGATATAAAAATAGTCTCCGTCCGTCCGTCCGACATTGTTGTCGGAAGCATATCTCTAAAAGTATTTGACGTATCAACTTGAAACTTCATAGGGGGAAATATCTCATTGAGGAGGAATGCAGTGCACAAGAATGATTACTGTACCCTGCATAATTTTTGAGTTATTGCCCTTTGTTATTTTTCAAACTTAATTTTTGTCCAGAGCATAACTCAAAAAGTTTATAAGATATCAACATGAAACGTCACAGTTGAATAAATTTCACTCAGGATGTGTGCAGTGCATAAGAATGATAAGTCTACCCTTCATAATTTTTGAGTAATTGTCCTTTGTTATTTTTTATACTTAATTTTTCACTTGAGTGGAGCATAACTCAAAAAGTCTTCGAGATGTCAACATGAAACGTCAAAGGTGGATAGATCTTATTGAGGAGGAATGATGTACATAAGAATGATAACTCTTCCCATTACAATTTTTGAGTTATTGCACTTTGTCAGTTTTCATACTTTTTGTCTGGAGCTTATCTCAAACGTGTTCGAGGTATCAAGTTGAAACTTCATAGGTGGAAAGATCTCATTTAGGAGAAATGCAGGACACAAGAATGATAACTCTACCATGCATATTTTTTCAGTTATTTTCCCTTTGTTATTTTTCATGCTAAAGTTTTGTCCAGAGCATAACTTAAAAGCCTTTTAGATATCAACTTGAAACTTCAAAGGTGGATAGGTCTCATTGAGGAGGAGTGCAGCAAATAAGAATGATAACCTATCTTGCATTATTTTTCAGTTATTGCCCTATGCTTTTTCTCATGCTTAATTTTTGTTTAGAGCATATCTATAAAAGCCTTTGAGATATCAACTTGAAACTTCATAGGTGGATATATCTCATTGAGGAGGAGTGCAGCAAATAAGAATGATAACCTACCCTGCATTATTTTTCAGTTATTGCCCTTTATTATTTTCAGCCATCAGTATTCACAAAGGTTTCAAATCTGTAATCACTTCAGCCATCTGTTTTCATTATTAAAAGATCTCTTTAAATTGAATTATTCTGCTCTACTACATATACATTCTTTCAATGAGCAAACACATTCGGCGAGGGATGGCCATGTTGACATGGCTCTTGTTATTCTTATTACGTACATTATATTCACATACATGCATATATTAAAATGAGTTTACAAAAAGGAATTCCTTACAACAATGCGTTGCCTCCAAAGTATAAATTAGAAGTATTATATGTAGATACCGACATTAAAATGATCGCATGTTTTGGACATATTATGGATGCTTTGTAAAATTGAATCTTTTCACCTATAATGGATGGTTGTTAACTTGAAAAAAATACCAGTATCTCAAATTCAAGTTTTTCTTTATATATTTACAATCAAAAAAGTTTATGAAAACATTGTATTTAACTGAAATGCTTTAATTGATTAATTAAATACGCCTAAACATTTATTAACATTTCCCCGATGGTCAAGCTTGCCAATGATCCCTGACCACTTGATTTAGGCTAAGACTGCTTATTTTTTCAAATTTAATTCATTTGGTCAATTTAATTTGATAGTCTTATTAAAATGACTGAGAAACTAATCCAATTGATGTTAAATCCTTTTATTTTGAACTTATTTCGCCAGGCAAGCTGTCCTTTGTATGTCGGGTTCGCACACTTTTTGAAAAACGATAGCCCTTAATTAAAAAATAGTATTTACTGAAGTGGTTAATTGAGGCAAATGTACTTAATACTTTGTCAATCTTCTTTGCACCACAATAATTTATTCAAATTATGATGATGTACATATTTGACATGCCTAAATGGCATATGACCTTTGTAAAATACTGTAAGCGAGATAATCTTTTATGTAAAACAGAAGTGTTATTTTCTTATTACGTTTAATAACAAACAATTTTGTTTACGGTTTCTTGCATATGATATAGCAAAGAACTGATACGTTTTGGTAAATTGTAATTTTAACACATAACCTGCATTGCTTTTAAAAAAAATGCTTAAAGACATATTTCGTAGGAATTTTGTTTATCGTATGAGAAAATCATACATGAAAACTGTATTAAAATAATATACAAAACCATTCAAAAACGTAAGAAAATAACCATTTTGTTTCACAATATACAAAATAGGTTGTACTAACAGTATTTCACCTGTAATTAATCCCCTTCGAAATTATTGAACATGTTGTCCATATTTGGTACACATAATAAGGTTGTTACAAAACTAAAACCACTCTATATTTTGAAGGGAACTTTATCTGCTACGTTGTACTTACACTGCCTTTGTAATGGCTTTTCCTTTTTAATAAACGATAGCCCTTAATTAAAAAATAGTATTTAATTAAGTGGTTAATTGAGGCAAATGTACTTAATACTTTGTCAATCATCTTCTCACCACACTAATTTATTCAAATTATGATGATGTACATATTTGACAAGCCTAAATGGCATATGACCTTTAAAAACATTCTTTGTTTTCAGGAACAGGAACTGAGGCGAAGGTCTGAACAAGATTTTAGAAACACCATTGCCGGGCTTGAGTCCAACGTACAGACGCTTGAGAGAAGAATTATGACTCTTGAAACACACATACAAGAAGCGGGAAGTAGTCAGGTACTTGTCTAGCAATAACATGTTTCATTTATTAAACATACATGTGTAGTTTGGGTATACTAAATAACTAAAACAATGTATTATCTAGTGGTTAGTGTATTTGTAATACCGAGTGGTAAAGATATTTGTATTATCTAGTGGTAACGGTATGTGAATTATCTAGTGGTAATGGTATATGTATTAACTAGTGGTAACGGGATATGTATTATAAAGTGGTAAGAGTATATAGTGGTAAAGGTAAACGTATTATCAAGTGGTAGTAATCTGTGTATTATCTAGAGGTAAGAATAATATCTAGTGGTAAGAGAAATGTGTATTATCTAGTGGTCAGAATATTTTTATAATCAAGTTGTAGGGGTATATCACAATATGTATTATCAAGTGGTAAGTGTGTGTGTATTATCTAGTGGTAAGAATATGTTTTTATTTAGTGGTAGGAATATGTGTATTATCGAGTGGTAATGGTATATGTAGTATCTAGTGGTAAGAATATGTATATCATCTAGTGGTAAGGGTATATGTTGTATCTAGTGGTAAGAATATGTATATCATCTAGTAGTATGGGTATATGTATTATCTAGTGGTAAGGGTATTTATATTATTTAGTGGTAAGTGCATGTGTATTATCTAGTAATAGGAATATGTTTATTATCTAGTGGTAGGTGCATGTGTATTATCTAGTTGTTAGAATATGTGTATTATCAAGTGGTAAGGGTTTATGTATTATCTAGTGGCAAGAGTATTTATATTGTATATTGTGGTAAATATATATGTATTATCTAGTGGTAACGGTATATGCATTTCCTGATGATAAGGGTAAATGTATGATGTAGTGGAAAGAAAATGTATATTATCTACTGGTCAGGGTATATGTATTATCTAGTAGTAAGAATATGTGTATTATCCAGTGGTAAGGATAAATGTCTCTAAGCCAAGCGGTTGTTGGTTTGATTGTTATAACTTTGTTTTACATATGTTTGGTAAAGTTATGTCGAGGACTGCGTTTCCATTTTTTAACTAATAAGCTTAGATAGAATAAACATATACATTCTATAAATAATTTATTGACACAAAGTATTTTTGTTTCTTTTTTCAAAAACAAAATAAAACAAAAAAAGGAACAATAAAAACAAACAAACTTAAAATTTGGTTTAAATAAAAATAATAGAATGCTAATTTTAGTGGATACATTTTGTTACTATCAAACGTGAAATGGTCATGGTCACAAAACTAAAGAATTGGTATGGAGTAATGTTACGAAATCAGATTCGTTATAGCATAAGATTTCATTGAACAGGCAGATAATATTTCGCTGCAAAGATCAGAATAATATGTATATTTTTAAAAAGTGCACACAAGCGTGAAAGCAATTGTTTAAGTCTATCGTATACCAATGAACACTGAGTGTTAGAATTATACGTAGCACATAACCACCAACTGGATGATCCATACGTATTTTACTTTCTAAATATAGTGCACTGCTTTTAAAAAGATATCAGAAACAAAATATCAGAATGAAATGAATAAATCTCATGTTTACAAGATAATGATATACACGTGGTGCATTTCTTTGCAATTGGTTTGTTGTGGAAAAAGCTGTAACAGTTTTATTATGAATAAGTACCATTCATTTAAAACTGCCTTCGTTTTTTATTTAGAGACATAGAGCTGAGTCAGATGCTGAAAGAATTCATACCTTAAGGGAAGAGATAGCAACGTCAAGGCGGGAACTTGAGCAGGAAAAAGTTAATAGAAGAATTGATTGTCAACGGCTTCAAAATGAGTTGACAGTAAGAGAGAAAAGTCTAAGGGAAGTAAGTCAGAAACACGGGTGCAATAACCTTTTCTTGGTTGTTTTTTATGGTCTCTCAAGATTTATCTTTAATATTTCTTTAGCAGATTACATGAAATTAACTTTTTATCATAATAAAATACAGAAAAGACAAATCCCTAAGGAACGCTTGAACGACAAAAAATGCAATTGTGCAAGCCCGATTAGCTTGAGCATGATGTGTTCATACGGCGGATAATAGGGAGCCTTCAATATGACACTTTTGTGTTTTCCTTGAGACATAAGTTCATGGGCGCCGCCATTTTGGTGTTCTTTTACTCTCGCGAGACAGACGAGACCCAGATAATGACATATAACTCCCACTAACAGTAGATGTACACGCTGGTACAACTGAACTATATCTTGATGAACAACTAATTATCCCTTGCCGAAAGGCAGCGGGGGATATAGAAATAGTCTCCGTCCGTCCGTCCGTCCGTCCTTCCGTCCGACATTGTTGTCCGGAGCATATCTCAAAAAGTATTTCACGTATCAATATGAAACTTCATAGTAGGGAAGATCTCATTGAGGAGGAGTGCAGTGCATAAGAATGATTACTGTACCCTGCATAATTTTTGAGTTATTGCCCTTTGTTATTTTTCAAACTTAATTTTTGTCTAGAGCATAACTCAAAAGTTTATAAGATATCAACATGAAGCTTCATAGTTGGATAGATCTCGCTCAGGAGATGTGCAGTGCACAAGAATGATAACTCCACCCTTTATAATTTTTGAGTTATTGATTTTGTTATTTTTCACTTGAGTAGAGAATAAATCAAAAAGTCTTTGAGAACATGAAACGTCAAAGGTGGATAGATCTTATTGAGGAGGAATGATGTACACAAGAATGATAACTATTCCCATTACAATTTTTTAGTTAATGTCCTTTGTCATTTTTCATACTTTTTGTCTGGAGCTTATCTCAAAAGTATTCGAGGTATCAAGTTGAAACTTCATAGGTGGAAAGATCTCATTTAGGAGGAATGCAGCACACATTAATGATAACTCTACCATGCATAATTTTTCAGTTATTTTCCTTTGTTATTTTTCATGCTTATTTTTTGTCCAGAGCATAACTAAAAAGCCTTTTAGATATCAACTTGAAACTTCAAAGGTGGATAGGTCTCATTGAGGAGGAGTGCAGCAAATAAGAATGATAACCTACCCTGCATTATTTTTCAGTTATCGCCCTTTGCTTTTTCTCATGCTTAATTTTTGTTTAGAGCATAACTATAAAAGCCTTTGAGATATCAACTTGAAACTTCATAGGTGGATAGATCTCATTGAGGAGGAGTGCAGCAAATAAGAAATGATAACCTATTCTGCATTATTTTTCAGTTATTGCCCTTTATTATTTTCAGCCATCAGTATTCACAAAGGTTTCAAATCTGTAATCACTTCAGCCATCAGTTTTCATTACCAAAAGATCTCTTAAAATTGAATTATTCTGCTCTACTACATATACATTCTTTCAATGTGCAAACACAATTGGCGAGGGATGGCCATGTTGACATGACTCTTGTTATTCTTATTACGTACATTTTATTCACATACATGCATATATTGAAATGAGTTTACAAAAAGGAATTCCTTACAAAAATGCGTTGCCTCCAAAGTATAAATTAGAAGTATAATATGTAATAAATCCTTTTATTTTGAACTTATTTCGCCAGGCAAGATGTCCTTTGTATGTCGGGTTCGCACACTTTTTAATAAACGATAGCCCTTAATTAAAGAAGTTTAATTGAGTTTAATATTAAATTGAGGCAAATGTACCTAATACTTTTGTCAATCTTCTTCGCACCACAATAATTTATTCAAATTATGATGATGTACATATTTGACAAGCCTAAATGGCATATGACCTTTAAATACATGTTTTGTTTTCAGGAACAGGAACTGAGGCGAAGGTCAAAACAAGATTTTAGAAACACCATTGCCGGTCTTGAGTCCAACGTACAAACGCTTGAAAGAAGAATTATGACTCTTAAAACACACAAACAAGAAGCGGGAAATAATCAGGTACTTGTCTAGTAATTATAACATGTTTCGTTCATTAAACATACATGTGTAATTCGGGTATACTTAATAACTAAAACAATGTATTATCTAGTGGTTAGTGTATTTGTAATACCTAGTGGTAAAGATATTTGTATTATCTAGTGGTAACGGTATATGATTTATGTAGTGGAAATGGTATATGTATTAACTAGTGGTAACGGTATATGAAATATATAGTGGTAAGAGTAAATAGTGGTAAGGGTAAATGTATTATCAAGTGGTAATAATATGTGTATTATCTAGAGGTAAGAATATTATCAAGTGGTAAGGGTATATGTATTATCCTGTAGTAAGGGTATATGTATTATCTAGTGGTAAGGGTAAATGTATTGTATAATGGTAAAGGAATATGTATTATCCAGTGGTAAGAATATTTTTTATTATCTAATGGTTAGTGTATGTGTCTTATCTAGTGGTAAGAATATGTATATCATCTAGTGGTATGGGTATATGTATTATTTAGTGGTAGGACAATGTGTATTATCGAGTGTTAAGGGTATATGTATTATCCCGTGGTAAGAATAGAATATGTATACTATCTAGTAGTAAGTGCATGTGTATTATGTAATGGTAAGAATATGTGTATTATCGAGTTGTAAGTGTATGTGCTTTAACTAGTGGCAAGAAAATGTGTATTATCTAGTAGTTAGGGTATATGTATGATCTACTTGTTAGAATATGTGTATTATCTAGTGATAAGGATGTGTGTATTATCTAGTGGTAAGAGCATGTGTATTATATAGTGGTAAGAGCATGTGTATTATCTAGTGGTTAGAATATGTGTATTATCTAGTGGTTAGAATATGTGTATTATCTAGTGGTTGGAATATGTGTATAATCAAGTTGTAAGTGTATGTGCATTATCTAGTGGCAAGAATATGTGTATTATCTAGTAGTTAGGGTATATGTATGATCTACTTGTTAGAATATGTGTATTATCTAGTGGTAAGGATGTGTGTATTATCTAGTGGTAAGAGCATGTGTATTATCTAGTGGTTAGAATATGTGTATTATCGAGTTGTTAGTATATGTGTTATATCTAGTGGCAAGAAAATGTGTATTATCTAGTTGTATGTATGATCTAGTTGTTAGAATATGTGTATTATCTAATGGTAAGGGTATGTGTATTATCTAGTAGTAAGAATATGTATATTATCTAGTGGTTAAAGTTTGTGTATTATCCAGTGGTAAAGGTTTATGTATTATCTAGTGGCAAGAGTATTTATATTGTATATTGTGGTAAATGTATATGTATTATCTAGTGGTAACGGTACATGTATATGCAATTCCTAATGATAAGGGTAAATGTATTATGTAGTGGAAAGAAAATGTATATTATCTACTGGTCAGGGTATATGTATTATCTAGAAGTAAGAATATATGTATTATCCAGTGGTCTCTCAACCAAGTGGTTGTTGGTTTGATTGTTATAACTTTGTTTTACATATATGTTTGGCAAAGTTATGTCGAGGACTGCGTTTTCATTTTTTAACTAATAAGCTTAGATAGAATAAACATATACATTCTATAAGTAATTAATTGACACAAAAATATTGTTGTTTCTTTTTTTAAAAACAAATCAAAACAAGAAAAGAACAATAAAAACAAACAAACTTAAATTTGGTTTAAATAAAAAATATAGAATGCTAATTCTAGTAGATACATATTGTTACTATCAAACGTGAAATGGTCATGGTCTTAAAGCTAAAGAATTGGTATGGAGTAATGATACCAAATCAGATTCGTTATAGCATAAGATTTCATTGAACGGGCAGATGACATTTCGCTGAAAAGATCAGAATAATATGTATTTTTAAAAAAAAATGCACACAAGCGTTAAAACAATTGTTTAAGTCTATCGTATACCAGTGACCACAGAGTGTTAGAATTATACGTAGCACATAACCACCAACTGGATGATCCATACGTATTTTACTTTCTAAATATAGTGCACTGCTTTTAAAAAGCTATCAGAAACAAAATATCAGAATGAAATATATAAATCTCATGTTTACAAGATAATGATATACACGAGGTGCATTTCTTTGCAATTGGTTTGTTGTGGAAAAGGCTGTAACGGTTGTTTTTTTATGTAGAAATACCATTCATTTAAAACTGCTTTCGTGTTTTATTTAGAGACAGAGAGCTGAGTCAGATGCTGAAAGAATTCATACCTTAAGGGAAGAGATAGCAACGACAAGGCGGGAACTTGAGCAGGAAAAGATTAATAGAAGAATTGATTGTCAACGGCTTCAAAATGAGTTGACAGTAAGAGAGAAAAGTCTAAGGGAAGTAAGTCAGAAGTACTGGTGCAATAACCTTTTTTTGGTTGTTTTTTATGGTCTCTCAAGATTTATCTTTAATATTTCTTTAGCAAATTACATGAAATTAACTTTTTATCATAATACAATACAGAAAAGTCGAATCCTTAAAGAACGCTTGAACGACAACAAATGAAATTGTACAAGCCCGATTAGCTTGAGCATGATGTGTTCATACGGCGGATAATAGGGAGCCTTCAATATGACACTTTTGTGTTTTCCTTGAGAAATAAGTTCATGGGCGCCGCCATTTTGGTGTTCTTTTACTATCGCGAGACAGACGAGACCGAGATTATGACGTAAAACTGCCACTAACAGTAGATGTATAACAGAACTATATCTTGATGAACAACTTATTATTCTTATTACGTACATTATATTTACATACATGCATGTATTGAAATGAGTTTACAAAAAGGAAATCCTTACAAAAATGCGTTGCCTCCACAGTATAAATTAGAATTATTATATGTAGATACCGACATTAAAATGATCGCATGTTTTGGACATAATATGGATGCTTTGTAAAATTGAATCTTTTCTCCGATAATGGATGGTTGTTAACTTGAAAAAATTTCCAGTATCTCAAATTCAAGTTTTTCTTTATATATTACAAACAAAAGTTTATGAAAACATCGTATTTAACTGAAATGTTTTAATTGATTAAAAAAATACGCCTAAACATTTATTAACATTTCCCCGATAGTCAAGCTTGCCAATGATCCCTGACCACTTGATTTAGGCTAAGACTGCTTATTTTTTCAAATTTTATTCATTTGGTCAATTTAATTTGATAGTCTAATTAAAATGACGGAGAAACTTATCCAATCGATGTTAAATCCTTTTATTTTGAACTTATTTCGCCAGACAAGCTGTCCTTTGTATGTGTGTATCGGGTACGTCGCCGGTTATGTATCTTTTTTTTTTGGCGTACAAACTCATCTAAATCCAGTAATATATATTGTATGCATAACATGCTAACATCAAATACAATGAACAAAATATATGAAACAATATTAATTTAAAATACAATCGATTACAATTGAAAGTTCCAGATGTTAATTAATACCTCGCAGCAACGTTGACCTCTGATCAAAAGAGTCGCTTATTTTTTAATTTAAGAAAACTTTTTAGCAACGTTTTTATTATAATAATGATTATTATCACCAATCATTTGTTTATTTAATTGCATTAATTGATTGTGAGACTTTGTTAAATAATATCACATGTATTTATTAAATCTGTATTAAATTTGGAGTAACGGGCATCACTCGGTCTGAAGTGGTGCGATCTGTGCTCGGTAGACCGTTGATTGGGTAATAGTTTCTTTATTTCCTTTGATATTTTTACGCATTTTGGACCAAAAAACGTCTTCCTCACACATCCTGTTTAAGATTAATTCGTCTGGTTAATACTTTATAATCTATAAATCTTTTGCTACGATTCGACAATTGCTGATCATAAATCTAAATATCTGGGTTAATGACATCACGCGCACCTGTTTTGCAAAAGCTACAAGTCTGAGTATGGCTTTTCATCAGCTTTTAATGACATGTTTCATATGTTGATAGTGAAACTGTTACCTAATGTATAATCTTCAATACTCTTATTCTTTTTAATATGTACAGTTGTGTTTTAGATCGCTGACCTTGAATACGAGAATGCTGCCATAAGAGATAGTCATAAAGATTTTATTTGGAAAAGTAAACAGGAAAACCGTGCCTTAAGGGAAGAATTATATCGTATAGAGAGACAACAGATTGTTGACAGAGACCAGTTTGAAAACGATATAAGAAGGATCAATAACACCAAGCACGGACATGCTGTTTATGCACTACACACTCACCACACAAAGGTTTGTTATTGACGTTTGATTCGACCAAATTTAGTTTGAAAGCAATTTCGTCTATTCGCTGGTTGTTTTGATGATGCATTATAAAAATTAAAAATTTGTTTTATTTATCCAAGATGTTTCAGTACAACACGTCTTTTTTGAATATTACTATTTTCACAAAATAATTTTCAAATGATTTTTTATAAGTACATATATATAACTGTTGCAAACAAATATTTTTCGGATTAATGACTTTTTGCTGAATTAAAGCTTTTGAATAAAAAGATGTTTTGGCAAGATAACAAATTTTGGGAAATTCATACTTTCACCACATTTCGGAAGACGCTCAAATAGCCATACAGTCAATTTACATTTCCAACAAACTGTTAAATCACGCCTAAATACAATTGTTAAATTATTTTTCATCAGGCGTTAAATGTGATCACTGATCGCTCTGGTTCCCAATTTTAAAAGAATTTTGTAAAAAGCTATAGGTCTGATTCAGGCTATAACAGGTAATCAATGGCATGTTATCTGTGTTGATAGTGAAACTGTTATGTAATGTAATAGTCTCTAATTGCTCTTTTTCTATTTTATATGTTTATATGTGTTTCAGATCGCTGATCTGAAAGACGAGAATGACGCAATAAGAGATAGTTGTAAAGATTTTATTTGGAGAAGTAAACAGGAAAGCCTTGCCTTAAGGGAAGAATTATATCGTATAGAGAGACAACAGATTGTTGACAGAGACCAGTTTGAAAACGATATAAGAAGGATCAATAACACCAAGCACGGACATGCTGTTTATGCACTACACACTCACCACACAAAGGTTATACGGGTTTTTGTTCACAGAATAATTTTCAATTTATTGTTTTTTTAGCAATAAGGTTGTGTCCATAACATAAACGGAGTAACATATTTCTGTTGAAGGTATACCCATTGGATAACAAAATGCGTTTTGAAAAGTAACTTTGGAGAAATTCATATTATCACATTTCGGAAGAAGATATGTAAACATCCATACAGTCAATTTTCATTTCCAAAAACAAAACCCATCCAATCACACTAAGTACAATTTGTTATTTTTCTATCATCAATGTGGTAACCTATGCTCTTGCTTCCAATCTAAATATATATTGTAAAAGCTATATGACTTTAAGGCTATTTTCCAGTAATCATTGGCATGTTTTATATGTTGATATTGAAACTGTTTTCTAATGTTATAGTCATTAACTGGATACTCATGTTATATTTACATTTGAACAATTGTGTTTCAGATCGCTGATTTTAGAGACGAAAACGCTGCCATAGGAGATAGTCTTGAAGGTTATATTGGGAGAAATAAACATTATTTAGAGAAAATTAGTGCTTTATGGTAACAATTAGATAATACGTAGAGACAGTACATTGTTGATAGAGAACAGTTGGAGAAAGATATAAAAAGGATCAATAGCAATTTTTATTTTATTTTTTATTATATTATTTTATTATTATTTTTTTTTTTTTTTTTTTTTTTTTTGCTCTTAACGTGTACCACTACTACGTTACAACGTGAATATGACGTCATTTTCTGCATCATTTCTAAGACAAATATTGCTCGGTTTGGAAAAGAAAAACACAACGTAAGTATTTCATTTCTGTAACAATTTCTTTGAGATATGCACCAGTCTATGGGGGGAAATATAAGCTTGTCACAGAATATTGGATCTTCTTCAGTTTATGAGCCGTTTTAAGCACTTTTTATAACCTTTGAAGTTGATTGTATTAGAGCGGGCTTCAGTTGCAAACTATTTCGTTTTCTTGCATTATCTGATTTACGCCATGATTAAAAAGTCAGGTTTACATCAACCGGCAATTCAGAAGGCAACATCCTACCTTAATATGTTTATATTTTTGTCATTTATGGCGTAAATCCTACATTATTTTTTAATTATCAATTCTGACGCCAGTTTCAAGTCGAACAAAATTGGATTACAGTTTAAAGCGAATTTCAGAATTGGTTGCACATGCGAAGCAAAATGGCTTTCTTTCTCTTTCAATAAATTAATAAATTATATTTATCTTTATTGATCTTTCAAAGATATATTTGAAGAAAAGACACAATTTGTACCTTTTACCTGTATGTATCGCAATAGTGAACGTCAAATAACGTAAATTTCATCCTGTACAAAATTCACATCTTTGGGGGTTTTATTTTTGAAGTTGTTTAAAATATAATCTATATGTAGTAAAATGATTTATTTTATACTATTTCAGAATGGCTGAAATTGATAGGAAATATCTGTGCTTTCAGTGAAAGAAAGAGTTCAGATATAAAAGAAATCTGAGAAAATTTGTATGTTACGGTAAGGGTTGTTACACTTCAACTTCAACACTTTGTTGTGAATAATCCTTCCGAGGGATCACTTTGTTTCCAGATTTTAGTAAAGTCAAAGGTAATTTTAAGTCCATTTTTTGTAATGACAAACACCGAAACTCGTTGATTAATATTGTTTTAGCATGCTTATTAAAGAGCTCTACGTTCACGCCAGTTAACATGACGAATGTGTTCCTCTGTGCTCAAAACAGATATTTTTAAAAGTCTTTTTTCCTGAAATTTCCATCAAAATCTTTTATAGAGTTTAATAAATTACAGTTTGAAGTACGTTTGTACTATGTACATGTATCGGTTAAATCATGAAGCTAATTGTTACGCGCAATATAATAAAGTGAAAACAGATAAATGTTTTACAAAACAATAGCCATCAATCACAGTCGAATTTCGTGAAACAAATTTAAACATAAAAAAATTGATTATCAATAATTATTTTAAATGATTTACATTCACATCGATAATAGCAACACCGGCAAGAACTAGGATTGTGGTTCATGCCACTGATGCGCCGATTGAATTATTGATAGCAAAAAATCTCTTTTTGTACAATTTCGATTTCATTTTAGAATTATTTTCAAATTGTGTTCCTTTTTAATTTTTAAAATGTAACAAAAATCCTGTCGAGGACCTCTCTAGGTCATGCCGCGCAATAATAAATGCATTTGAAGCCATTGGCTACACCGATAAGAAATAGTCCCGATCATTTAGACATTATTGTTAAAGATTCTACTCGATTTAAATATTATTAACCATAATAAAGTACGAGGTACAGATATCCCGTTCTCTTCTACAATATGTATTAGTGAGATGTCTGATAAAGCTGCATTTGTCAGATATGAAATTTATCAACAGAAATAAATGTAATAATACAGTAAAAAGTTTTTAGTGTTCTGAAAGGAACGAAGTTCTATCCTAGACGGTAACCTTGGGAATGAAAAAAAGGATGTAAAAAATCCATTAACGAGTGTCACTGTGTTAAAAAGCTGAATCTATCATGCTAAGACATTGCTAGCGGTTCTCTAACTAGTATATGTATGGCATTACGTATAAGTACCTTTTTACTAAAAACAAATCTTTAGCTTCATAACTGTCGGATTGAGGCGTAGCCCTTTTCACAACATACAAATCAACGTGTTCCTGAATCACGCCTGGCAAACTGTCGCTCCACTTCAAAATTGTGGTGTACGGTAAAACGAGCGAACGGCATTTCCGAGATAGAGCGGAAGGCCGATTTAAACGCCTAATTGTAAGTATTGTTTATGTTTTTATCTTGTTATTCATTTAAGTTGTATTTTTTCGAAAAATGGAAAATGTAGTTCCGTGAAGGATTGATTTAGGCTTCCAATGATTTAAGCTGTTACAGAAAGAAAATTATATTAAGCCCGGGAGAACTTTTCTCCCTGACGAAGCGAACGACGATTTATAGAATATTGAATTTCCCAACCATAGAAATGCCATACCCTTCGGATTTTTTAAAAAAGTGTATTAGTAAAATATCAACCCGTAATAAGAACTTGTCCTTCGTGCGAAATAAATTACTCCTGAAGGATTTCTAAAATTTTTAAATCGATATTTTTCGAAAGTAATGGAGCGAAAGGGCAAGAGATGGAGCAAAAGGTTCGATGTTGAGCGCAAGGCGATATTAATTTGACGTATTGACGTATGACGTATGAAGTGAGAAAACGGATATGTCTCCTTGATTTCACCCAGTCTGAAATAGAATAAAACTCATTTTACTGCAAAGGGTATGAAGACTTGGTTCTCGGGGGTGTGGACGGAAGCTTGCATTTTCAAGTTTCGTCCGTGAACAGGCTCATTCAAACCTAGCCTGCAACATTTTCAATTTTGCCGTATTGAGTGTTATTTAGGGATTCTGTTTTTCTCTTCCATAAGTATTGCTTCATGACACTAAAAGACTTTTCAAATCATTTCCGTGAAAGAACAATTATGATTAAAATACAAATACAGACAGCATTTTCACGACATTCAAAATCACTTATGCAGTAGCGCAGCGAGTAAAATTTATTTGTGCATGCGTTTTTAATATGTAAATAAAAATGTTTTTCATGGTTAACATTATTATAGAAAGAGAACGGAATGTATGTTGTTTTGCATTTACAACCAATTCTGAAATCTGCTTTAAACTGTAGTCCGAATGTTTCGACTTGGAACTGGTGCCAGAATTTTCTATTGAAAACAAATTTCAGATTTACGCCATTAATAATGAAAATATAAACATATCTAGGTAAGATTTTGCCTTCCGTACTCCCGGTGGATGTAAACCTGACTTTTTAATAATGGCGAGGATCAGAAAATGCAAGAAAACGAAATAGCTTGTAACTGAAGATTTCATGTTTATACAAAGTGTTGGATAAAACGTCTCTTTTACTAAAGAAGATCTAATATTCTGTGGCAAGCTTATGGTACAGAAATAAAATACGGCTTTTTTCTCGAAACGGGCAATATTTGTTTTGGAGATGATGCCGAAAATGACGTCGAGGCAGCGTGATATTGCCGCACTGTTTAAGCTATTGTTTATGTTTGAGTTATACAATTTGAGTTTCTATTGTTTTACCACTGTTGCATATGATTTTGATCATATTTGTCTAATTTGTAAGGTATTATTCACTTGTTTTATTCCTATATAATTTTCTCACAGTTAACTTAGTTTAATAACATATAACTATGAAAACATGTTCATAAATGCTTCATAACATAATTATCATATATAATCGATTAACCAGCTGACTTCAAATTATAAGAAAAAAATCTATGTTAGGTGAGCAAGTCTGCAAATTCATGTTTGACCATTGATTTTGTGCTCACGTTTTGCCAAGGTTTGTGGACGCTAACTTGTAGCTTGCATTTACCAGTACCATCCTTGAACATGCTCAATTATATCGTGCCAGTAATATTTTTAATTGTGTCGTTTTGGGGTGTTTTGGACGACTTTTAATTACATGAATCGATGTAAAACATCCTAAAAGGGGTTATAACTTGAGAAATGGCGAATTACTGCATAATTTTTTGTTTATTCTCTCATTCCTTTCCATTTCGGTTTCGTAAAGAAAGGTATGTTAGCTGAGCAAAAGAAACTATTGATTTATCTAAGGTCATTATAATATTAAGATTAAAGTTGCTTCTTATACTGCAAAAAATAAACATTGTTTGTTTATGATTGTTTTGTACAAGATTGCCTTCAATATGGAATAATAGCAGCTTGTATAGCTATTGATAGTTAAAGAAAGTGTTTTGTAAGGACGAGAAGCTCATTTCATACTTTAATGATCGAAAAAGGAAGATATATTTTAATAAATTTGACTTGCCCTATGTGCGAATAAATAGTGAGACAATGTAAAATTAATTCACTTTGTTATTGTCTGTCAGTTATATATAAATTTACGTTTATTGTGTATACTATGGTATTATTATAATTATTATTATTACTATCCAAACATTGAAATTTATATTCCTTGGGGGAAATTGAAAACGAATGATTTTTATGAATATTTATAATTCAATAAAAAGGAGATAATAAATTAATGTTGGGAATAATGAATATTCATACTGTATTGTTTGTATAATGATAATATGATTATGATTATTACATGTAATTTAAAGTAACATGATGCCCATGTAAGTGTAAATGGCAAGTGTATTTGTAAAGAAGTACTACATATTATGCCATAACTTATTTCAATTTTGTTCCTACATCACAAAAATAAACAATGATCCAGTTTTCTTTTCGAAATTTCTAAACATATCCTTCAGAATGTTTCTGTAACGTTCAATTGATTAAAAGATTGTGTTAGTCTCTTCATTATTTTATATTTTATCCTTATTATTTTTTCCAACAAATGTTGTGTCGATGACAATTATGAAAGTTTTGAAATGTATGTTACCAAATTAGCTAGACTTCTCATGGAAAATATGACCATAATGTCTCTTTAAGAAATATATATGTGTACTGTACCGTATATGTTTTATACAGTGTATAGGTCGGAGGCCTGTACCGTATATGTTTAATACAGTGTATAGGTCGGAGGCCTGTACCGTATATGTTTTATACAGTGTATAGGTCGGAGGCCTCATCCGCATTGAGGCTATTGATTTGAACTGATAAGAGTTTTTTTATACATTTAAGAAAATGTTCAAACAAAATGATGTTTTAACAAATTACAGTCTGCTTTGATAAGTTATAATATTGTTGTTTGTTTTCGTATGGAGGCAATTGACTTTTGAAAATAAATTATATATTTTGTCATATATCAATGTTGTTTTGAATGCTTAAAAAGTAAAATTTTTAAATTTAAAATGCTTAAAATGTAAAAGGTGTAAAATTTTAGAAATAAACCCTATTTTAGAAAATTGAGTTTTCTATATTCTTGGCTGAATTTTTGCTATTTTAAAGTGGCAATATTTACATAAAATTAAACACTGTTATAATATATCTCTTTTATGTTCTTTCACTCTATAAAAACAATGATCAATTAAAACAGTTTCATAGTTCATTTTCTTTTTGGAATTGTCACATCTAGCGTACTCTCAATTTCAATTTTAAAATCAAGCCAACATATATATTTATCACATGTTTTTACTTAAGAAAATATATTTAGTTCTATTAAAAATATAGGAGTATACAAGTTGTTTAATGATTTACGGGACATTGAATTGTTCTATAGCAGTTGGATAAGAAATCAAAGAACCTTCAGATACCATCTTAACTTTGCATCATTTGAAAGTAAGGGTGTGAAATTGTAATACAATGCTTAACATGTACTGTTCTTAGACATACACATTTATTTGTAAAAATAAACATAACAGAAAAGGTTCCATGCTGTACATCTCCATCTGCAATGGCAATACAGTCAAACAAATTGTCATCGTGTGTCTGATAGGATACTATTTTGATATCGGCACACACATCTGATAATAACCACACCCTAGACCCTGACAATGGGTCACAACCTCGGAACGCCTTTTGTATTTGGAAGATATTGGCCTTATATTATGCAAATAACGTATAGTTGGCAACTTGTGTTTTATTCCTCACTATCTAGTAATGTGTAATATTTTTTTGTTTTGTTTGGATCTTATTTGGTAACATTAATAACAATTCAAGAAGAAAACGTTTGTATCGGATACAACAATGACCATACTATACACGATGATGTTAGCATAGGGGTGAGGAGTTATTTGCATGTAGTGATCCGCATGTATAATGCTGTAATCAATTGAGTTTTTCCTCTCTTTGGATCGAAAGTTAAGTATGTAGAACACTAAATAATTAACATTTATTAGCAAGGTTGCAAAATGTATCCCTTTACATGGTGGCCAACTAAAAACTCATTGCAGTATACTTTTTTCTGACCTATCTTCCATTATATCATTGTTTTTTACACCTCAGTCACATCTTAATAATGTGAAAATGGTTTGGTCATATGAATGTCACTTATTGGAAGAAGACTGTAGGTGTCCCTCCGTGCATTACTTCAGGCACGATCGGGTACCTTTGTATTCCCAGCGACGTTCCGTAAGCCACCCGGATAGCTTCGTCACATAAAAGTATACAAAGTCGTGTCGGGATTCGAACCAACAGCGGTTAGGGACAAGTGGTTTGAAAATAGCGACTTTAACCACGGACGCCCAAAATGATGATCTGTTCTGATTATAAAAATACAAACTGGATTCACCATGGAGACATCCAATAAACAAAATCGTTTGGGTTTCTGACAATACATAATAAGGTAGATATCAAAATTAAGGTAACATATTGATAGCTATGATATAATATCATAAACTAGATTCTAAAACATGTCCTTGTTGTTGATCATAATGATTTTCATCTGATGTTATACCCTGCTCTACTGAAGAGATGTGAGATATATCTAATATGAGACTTTGCGCTCTTTGTGTCGCTTGATGCCTATCTTCTAATCTGTTTTGTGTACACATTTCTGAATATAACGGTAGTGTTGCATTCGTGTTTTGGATCACTCTTTGTGAGGGAAATATTTCTGAGGAGTTTGTTGTAAATAATTCTGAATAAGATGGAAGTCCTGTATCATTATCGCTATATGCACCATTATTGTTACTATTTTGACCACCCGGTGATCGAGTCAAATTATTGGTCTCATTCACTGCTGGTAAATGTACTTCGTTACTGCCAAACATCTCGTTATAACAAGGTGGAAGTATCTGTTCATCATGATAATTATGTTCGGTGTTCCGATTAGTATGCCCATCCATTTGGAGATAATATATGTCTCTTCCTAGTGCAGTGATCTGATAGATTTGACTGTTAGATCCGGATCTCTCATATTCTTCAAAGTTAAGTGCTGGTATCTGGTTTTCATTTCGTGCGTTGTCACAATTCTGAAGGGAAAGAAGCGGTTACAAATACAAGTTAAACGTACCTATGTCCTGAAAATTATTTTTATTGTTATGTCAAACCATATATTATTTTTTGCAATGATTCAAGGGATCGAAATGTTTTGATGTTACAAACAAAATACAAGTTAATTTCATCTCGAACAATGAAGATCGCTCTGAAGCAATGAAAATATCAAAATTACATGTAAAAACTTTTTACAGCTGCCTTAAAGAATTTGACATTTTCTGCTATGGGGGATTAAAGCATGGAACATGGGAGGTCCTTAGGAGATAATGAAAACAACAAAATGAAATGAAAATAGCAGACTTTCTTTGAGTTTTATCGTGAGAAATATTGGAAACAATATAAAATCATTCATGGACTTAGAACCGGGTTAAGCAATGTCCAATCCTCAACACTTGAAATCAATGTCAATCAATGAAGTCAAACTTACAGTCATATTTCTGCCTTTTTGTCGTAGTCTATACGTACAGCATAAAGCAACAACGCACAATATGGCGACAATACAGGCTATAACTATACCGAATACAATACTCGTGCTTGAAGAGCAACTTGAATTATCACCACAAGAATTGTAACCATTACAAACGAGGTCTTTATCTATGCACCGTGAATTATCACATTCATGGGCGTGACCCGGGCATGTATCTGCAAAATAAAGAAGTACTAGGCTTAAACCAGTATAGTTTGACTAATTGTAATACATGTCATATTCATGGGCGTAAACCGAGCATGTATCTGCAAAATAAAGATGCACTAGGCTTAACCAATATAGTTTGATTAATTGTAACACTTTTACTATGCTGCACATGTATTTTACTTCTTATGATATATATTAATAATAACGAGGTCAAGCCAGTTCTGCATACAATACGCACAGTGTCATTTAAAATATGAAAATGCGCATGTATGCATTTTATTTTCTTTAAAAATGAAATCAAAAAATATTTTTTTCTAGGTTGAGACTAGTTGCTTCAAATAAAACGGCGTACCTCCAGTTGAGTTAAATCCATGCTCAAAATTACTTTCTCACAGAAAATGATAATTTTGCAGTAAGAATGTTTTGCTTGTATGTTGAAATGAAAAACACATCACAAAACATTGATGCATAGAAATCTGCTTTGTTGAATTAATTGTGTACTCCATTTCATTAAATAAAAAAAAATAATCAGAAATCATTTTGGCATTATTTTTTATTTTTTGTTGTTGTTGTTGCGTTGTACGTCACACCGACACAGTGTCTAGGTCATATAGCGGTTTTCCAGATTTACTGGCGGAGGAAGACCTCGGGTGCCCTTCAGTGCACTACTTCAGGCGTAAGCGGGCACCTGTTTTGAATTGTGTAGAACCACAGACGCTCCTTAAGCTAGATGGATAACTTAGCTTTACATTATTTAAACAAACTCGTTTACCAAAAAGAATAAATTAAATTAAAACTGTCTTACCGTCTCTAAATGCTGTAACTATTAAGGAAAATACAGTCATGATGCGTGGACGTCTGAGAGATGTATATATTATTTTAAGAAACCGTGTATCTCCTATAAAGACCCCTTCTGGCTTCTCAGTCCCACATGTCTCGTCCTCAAGTCCTGGTATACAAAAAATATGAGCCGCGTCACGACAAAATCAACATAGTGCCAACATAGTGCATCCGCGCAGTCTGATCAGGATCCATGCTGTTCGCTTACCAACTCTATTACAGGTAGAGAAACTGATAGCGAACAACATGGATCCTGATCAGACTGCGCGGATGCGCAGGCTGGTCTGGATCCATGCTGGTCGCAAACCCATTATGTTGGTTTTGTCATGACGCGGCTTATATATTAATTATCATAGCAAATTTAGGAAATTATTTTATCGCTATTCCTCATTATTAAGATGGTTCCTTCAGTTGTGCCATTTTCACTAAGAAGGAAAAGTAAAACAAGTGCAGAAAATTTCCGTCAGAGTTATTATTAAAACAAATTGATAAAACAGGGGTGAGGGGTCACTATGTTACAGTTTTAGGTAAGTGCCCTGGGAAATGTGTTTTTGCTCTTGTTAGTCATTTTAGGAGCAGATGACTCAAAACTGCGGCAAACAACACCTCAATTAGTTTCACAGTTGTAGCTATTACTTCCTTCGCTACCAAAGTGCAATAAATGCTGAAATTCTAGACGGCAGAGTTGGTCCTATAGTTTCTTATGATAGAAAATGTCTTCCATGCCGCTTTTTCGAAGAAATACATGTACGGTACGTTTAAAAAACTCATTGAAGCGTAGCCATTTGCCAGATTGGAAGAATGGTTTAAAAACATTGCTCAACGCGGAAAACAAGAATAATGTAAAAGTATGCTTGATTATGGGTTATCTTGGACCAGGCATTATTTTTTCGTGACAATTGATCATACAAGTTGGGCCTTATGGCCATTTGCTGCTGACAGATAATTTAGAAAGCACATGCGGAGACCTTGGTAATTAATGGTCATTGGTCAGTTATCCAGTAAAGGATCGACCGCCGAGAAGTGACTATAAATTATGTGATCTGTGATATTAAAAAAGAAAAACAAACAATAATAATGGATTATAATCGGTGTGTAAAAAGGAGAAAACAAAAAAGACAACATTAAAATGCTGATGCACGCATGTTTGAGAATACATATTAATTTAAAGGGTAATATTTTTTTTAAATTTGAAAATGATTTGACGTGAGCGGTCATAACCATGTATCGTAAACACATATTTAATGCTGGACATTTTTTTGTTAAAGCTTAAGTTAATAAAGGCTTATGTTTTAATGTTTGTGGTAAAGAATGCATGCTATTTTTTTCAAAAGGACCATTTCTTAAGATGGTACTTAACCTTGTTTTGAATAATTGCAATTTCTTTTTCAATAGTAATTCTGAGTTTTAGATGTGATAAAAATGCTCAAAGAAAGGTAATTGTTGTCTTTTTTTTGTTGAAAAAGTTATTTTGATAAATACAAAACATTATAACATGTACATCAATTTTCAAACTGTTGTGTAAATTACAAAAATTTTCTTTTTTTTAATTCTCAGAATTCATGCTCCAGACTTTCAGGCTACTTACTACAGAAAGTTTTTACTTAATAATTTAATTTCGAATATACATTTATTTGTTGAAATATAAAGCCGCATTAAGTATTTATTCCCAAAAGATCTTATTTTTGAATCAATAGTTACTGTAGCTTTAAATGTCTGGCTAAATTCTAAGTATCATTTTATATCATTGTTTTCCAAAACATTTTCCCATTTCTTTTCAGATTTTAAATTTGCTTTACGTTATACCGATTCCCTAACCTTTTACATGTGTGTCCTTATTTTGAAGAACATAAAATTCAAGATGACCTTCTCTGCAATCCAAGTTAAGATGTTCAAAATAGAACATAATCTTGTTATATGAATTGTACCAAGTTTCTATCTTTATTTCGCAAGACCATCCCCTGTTGTTGTTGTTGTTGCTGTTGTTGTTGTTGTTGTTGTAAATGTTGTCGTCGTCAAGGACTAGCTTCAACTGATCTATCTTCTCCGTTGCCATGTTCAATTTGGAGTTACAGTAATCATTCATATAATCTGTAAATATATTTTAGTAAAAAAATTGTGATTTGAATGCAATACATGTCCCACCCTGAATTAATAATAATATTATGCATTTCATGACAAATTTCCAACCCTTTTTTTAAAAATATTTTCTACAGTTTTAGACAAATTTAATCCTTTCATAGATTTTTATTATTATTATTATTATTATTATTATTATTATTATTATTATTATTATTATTATCATTATTATTATTATTATTATTTTATTTTTTTTGTATGATGAGTTAACCTTATTGGCGAACTCAAAAATAAAAATATATATACAATGTATATATATGTTAACGTGTTGGATTTTTGTAAAATGGCATTTTTGCCATGGTAACCGTATGTATCAGAACTGTCAAAATAGCCACACTGTGTATTAAATATTTCCAAAATGAATAGATATGTTGCTTACTTAAATGTAATCATGTTTTGGGCGGTTTCATTGACAATTACACATATTGTGACCGCATAAAACACCAAACGTTTCAATTCGCCTCAAAATGCCTCAAAAATGCATATTTACTCAATTCTTTAGAAATGTCAAACATAATATCTATTATGTTTTAATAATCGATTTTTAGTACGTTATGTATTTAACAGCTAAAGGAAATAGCGTTAAATGTGCTGTTATGCGTTAATATAAATACATGTATATACCAATTACAAACAAAGCAAAGAAGCAAAATTAGTCCATTTATATTTGGCAAAAGAGTACTGTTCTGGAAGCTACAACAAGATACCAAAATTAAAAGTTTGTGTGAAATGAAAATGATAGCATTTCTGAGGCATAATGGGCCTTTAATGACATTTTTAAATAAATTTCTAATATCTTTACCTTTTCTTCTTTCTTCACTTCTCTTTTGTTTAGATGATTTCTAATATTTCTCATAGCTATCCGAAATAATCATTTATCCGAAAAACGATCAATATATGAAATTATGTCTTGTGGCAATACACTTCGAGGAACGGGAAATATATTTTGGTTAAGGTATATGTGGGTCTTTTTAAACCCGAGGTGAACTTCACAATGAAACTTAAAAAGAAAATTGTTCAATAACTAATGCGGGATAAAAAAAAACCAGTAATTATTTTATTTTAATGATTGTTTTGAATGACATAAAACACAACTTTCAATGAACTTACATGTGTTAATTTCACTTCTACTTATCCCCATAATGAGAAACCACACTAGAAGATAATTCGTTATTCTCTTCGTGAAGGATAGAGTGCACACTAAAATATCGTCCATGTTTTGTTATTCACAAACCAAAGAGAGTTCAGTTTGTTTTGAAATGTTATCTCTTTTATTTGCACACACATTGACTAACTTAAACCATATCAGGGTGATCAATGCAATGTTAGTAGAGATTATTTGACGATGATAAAGTTAGGCGATTCATACACAACAAGGGTTATAAAGATAAATCGTAAAAACGTAATATGTAACGGAAGAAAACGTTATCTAATTTATATATGTGTTTCAGGTTAACGGAGTTAAATGATAACTAGAATAGATTAATCACATATAAATTTGAAGAAGGGTTCAGAACAGAATACAAGAAAAGAAATTTTCCTCACTTTTTTGTAATGCTTCAGAACATTGACAGAAAAATGGAACAACACGATATTTACAGGTTTTATGTGCAATTTTCATTTCAGTAAGACAGTATTTCCATTCTTTTAACGTTTATTGAAAGGTTCTTATCATAAAACGCAGAAAGTGTATTTTAATGTGTAAAAAGAAAACAGTTTAATTTGTATGACATCCAAACCTAGATTACATTAACACTCGACATATGAGCCGCGTCACGACAAAACCAACATAATGGGTTTGCGACCAGCATGGATCCAGACCAGCCTGCGCACCCGTTATTTTATCAAGTTTTCAACAATAAAAACTTACGTCGTATTGTGTTTACATCAGTGCCCCTTTTATCATTCTTGTATGTATGAAATAACGTCAGCTTGTTTATGAATAAGTTGTTTACTTTGGATGACGTCATTACGCTGCTTACGGATTGGCGCCGTTTTATCAAAATATTTATGAACTAATATGGATAATTATGTGGCGTTAGTGTATGTGAGATATTATTTCGGTATTGTATGCAAAGCAAACATTATACGAACTGAAAATATAAATAAAAATGTTTTGTGTTTTTTTTGCTTTAAAATGCTTTATAAACTATTCACTCGAGGGTGAAAACATAACGGCGCAAATACAAATAGTCCCTAACCGGTGTTTATTGGCAGTTTTACACCAGTCATTTTCCTTCTTTGTCTATAGTGACAAAATCACGAGTGTTGGAATATTAATTATAGATATTTTCTTCGGTCCTTTGCACTGAATCTCTGCTCTTGCGGGTATAGAAGTTATCAGTTCTTTGCGAAAGTGAAGTTAAATAGTACTGGTTAATGTTTGACAGTATGCCCAGGAATAATGTGATGATTGCACTGTGCTCTGGTAGATTCAATGTGACTTATTGCCTTGATGCGGTGTGAAATCTACCAGTCAACAGAAAACGGTAATACCCGACCGTGAAAGGTTAATGCCCGATATTGTACGGTAATGCCCGACAGGTAACGGTTATTCCCCAAAGTTAATGGTGATACCCGACAGTTAACGGTAATACCCGATAGTTTACCGTTCAACCCGACATAACCCCTTATCTTACCATATCAGCTTCAACACGACAAATTGATCCAACGTCAAATAATTTTACCGCATTAATAATATTGCGAAATATAACATCGCAACGCATTCTGTTTGTACGTCTGATAAGGGTTTAAGTGTTTATCTCAACGAGCCTTGTCAACATTATGGCAAATATTGTGAATGTTCTCAAACCTACTTTAGATAATAATCAAATACTGTTTTGTTAATTTTAAACGGAATGTGTCATGGCCGTAAGTAATTATATAATTACTGATGAATTAAAGGTTATTAATTAATTAATCAATTCATTAATCAATCAATCAACTAATTAATTAATTAATTAATTTTAAAAAATGACATGTTATATAACCATATATAAGCGCTTGTTTGGAAATATAACCTAAGTCGATAGGTGATTGTAATATTGCAAACATCAGTTTATATACCCATTATGCGTTCATATAACCTGTCAGGAATATTTATGACGAATTTATAATACAACAAACTTCCTTTTTGTGAAAACAAAGTGAGATCGCTTCATAAATTGACACCAGCTGTGTTTATAAAACTATATAAACGTCACGATTATCCAATGAAAAGTGACGTTACAAATGTGCAGCATTATAAAAGCTTACAGCCATCTATAACAAGTTTGCTTCTTTAAAAAGAAGCATGCGAGAGGTCTTTTTGCTGCTGCTCTTGGCGGATTAGGGATACTTTTTCTACAAAGGGAATTAGATTTGAAATAAACGATATATATATTAAAAGTAGTATTAAAATAAAAGTTTCTAGCACATTTTCGGTTAATGTTTTGGTAAGTATATGGAAACATTTCATCTACATTCTCCAAAACGGGCAAAAGTATGTTAATCAAACAATTTTAAGTCCAGGATTTACATAAAAGATGTTTATATGATTTGATTAGACTGAACAGTTTATAAAGCTGCATGCCTCCAACCACAATATTTGAAGAAAATCATACTTGAGTAAAATATGTACTATTTGCTCCAAAAAATCTCCGTTGCGTTATTTAGTCATACTGGTTCAAAAGTTTAAGCAGCAGCAAAGTTTCGGTACACAGTTCACGGTCATAATTTTTTATTTTATGATAGTGCATGGTGATATTGTAGCTATAATGTTCACTGTTACTATTTATCAGAACATGAAATAGTAAAACGCTATTCAGAAAACAATACGGTAATCGATTTATACAGTTAAAAAGATTAAAACGGAATGAAGTAACGTAAATGATATTTTCCGATTTTTCTATGTACCGATTTGTTCATTTCGTTTAAGTTAAGTCGTATTTCGAAACGGAGCATGCGCAAAACAATATTTGTAGACTGCTCCTAATGATTTTACGCTTTAAAAGAGATCCATTCACTACAATCAGATAGGCAAAAATGGATGCCGCCAGCAATCAGTCTGATCACTGTGGAGAGGTCTGATTACCTTTCCAATTAGTCTTACTGCACGTTTATAACGTCATTTTTCATTGGAATATCGTGACGTTTATATAGTTTTATATACACGGCCGCTGTCGATTCATGACGAAATCTTACTTTTTTTCTCTAAAAATGATGCTTACTATATCATAAATTCCCTCCCTAGTACTGGCTTTAGCGTTACTCTTTTCTCAGAACTTTATAGTGCTGGCATCAATGATCCCGAAGGACCAGAAAAATATAACAGCACTGAAGTTAAGTACGGGGCAACTTTTTACAGCTTCCACACAGCATTTGACACCTGCTGTTGTGTCAACTTTGGTCAAATGTTCTCCATAGTATGGCGGGGTGTCGCACGAAAAGTTCAGGTGTCTGTGATAAAGGTCAAGGTCACACTTAGTGGTCAAAGGTCAAATGACAAAATTATGGAAAAATAATGCCGAGTAGCCAGGCGGCCATAATGATCTAAATCTTGTAAAAGTGGCTTTAAAATACTAGTACTTAAATTAGTGTACTATATATAGTAACTGAATAACTGTACCTGGCTAAAAATTCAACTTTAATTTACATCGTCCTATGAATTTTGACCCATGTTTAGTTGATGCCTTTATTAAAGTTTTACAGTTTTCAGTTTGACAATTAATTAATTATATATTTTAATTTCTATGAACCATACAGTTTATATTGAATTCAATTAAGAGGTTCTTTGCAAAAAAAATGCTTAAGATCGAAATTTTCATTACTGATATAACCATCTACTTGTTCCGGATATTATGAAACAAGATAAAAACGTTTCATGATTACACTAAGGTCTTTTCAAAAATGTATTACCGGTTTATGCTTTAATATCGTTAAAAGGTTTGAGTTTGTAGCCGGTACAGAAAAGCCAGAGACAGGATGTTTCGATTTATAGAGGACTGATCAAGTGTTTTTGCAGAAAATATGGATATGCAAACATTATTGTATTAATTATAACTTAAGTATCGGAAACATATGGTTCACATCTGATATGCACTACATATTTAGTCTATCAGGTTAATCTAGAAGGAACGAATCTGCAGTCTTCATTTATTTCTTTTGTTGACACCGTTGTCGATATACCTCTATATTCTGAATTAAAAAAACTTATATCAATATATGTTTTATGTTATATTTCAGAGTTAAACAGTTTATTCATATTTTATACAACTGCCTCTTTTTTAAATGGAAGCATGTATGCCGCAAAGAAAAGAAGCAAAAGTAAAGATTATTTATGGTGATTAAGATTATTTATATAAAAAGGATAACAGAGCTTGAGACATGTGTACATTTTTCGTTAAAACTGTTTTAAAAGTTTTGTTTTATAGTCTTAATGTTGTAACAGCTTTTCCCTTTAAACTGATGTGTTAGTTTATACTATTTCAAAAACAATTGATACATTAAACCCTAAATGAAGCCTGAGCACAATCATTACCCTAATCCATTCAACTGATATAAAAACCTTTTTTTTAATGTAGGACGCAATGAGGTCACAGTGGCAAACAGCTAGAACTTAATCGTGCTGACATAAATAAGTACCGGTATAAGACAATATAAATTAGGCTTTTTAAAATAGAAATATAGAAACTGCAAACATCCCAATCAATGGACATCTTTATAACTTTATTGTAATGCTATTTATACACATAACTTTTACGTCACTATAATATATTGATTTCGATTACATATTATATTAAAAAGTAACAACGGTAATTGTGCTTGTAAGAACTAAATAATTTATTGAGAAAATATACGAAATTAAAATGTATACAAAGCGGGATTAACAGTAAATCGTTACTGCGTGGTGATTAAGCAAAAGCTACATTATTATATACAATATTCAAAAAACAAATTATTTTATCAAGCCGTATAATATGAAATTGTAGCGTTGGTAAAATGACAAATCAAATTCTAAACATCCAAAATACGACATTATAAACATTATATCTAGGTCAACATGGTACTTTTTAGATAATAGTTTCAAATTTTACATGCTAAAATTTCATAATAGGAAAAAATAATTATTCACACACACCGAATTTAATTTAATTTAATTTTCTGATTGGAAAATATTATAGATTTAAAATCTGCATTGTAAAAATATGTTGATTAAATTCGACGCCTGATAAAAAAAATTTCAATGTCTTCAGAACCACACCGCCTATATTTAGCAT